GTAATACACTTGTTTGTAACTTCCATATTAACTGGTTTCTCCATTCATATTAGTTTTTCTCTAAATTTAGACTTTAAACTTCACTTCTACAGCAACAGGCATGTTCACAATTTTCTTTGTGGGGGGAAAATGTCTTTGGGGAAAATCTGGAAACATTATTTGTCATAAATATTTATAAAGTGGCTTTTTAAAAAAGGCTATTTACTGAAAGAAACCATTTTACTTTTCTTATGGCATAATGCCATTAAACAGAATCCTTCAAAACCCATCTCAGAAAGTTTCTGAATGGTGTGTAACACACTTCTCCTTTGTACATCTTTCTTCTTTTACCCCCTCTTTGGGGATCTCCTTGCTGTCTTTTGTTTTGTTTCTTTCTTAGACCGAGTTAATGTAGACCTCCAATGTCCTAAATAGCTCTGAAGTTACTTAAGTGAAGAATACAGAATTGTTTTTAAAAGTTATAATTAAATATTTTACCTACTACAAGTTACACAACACTTAACAGAGTGCATGGAGAGACACTTAAAAACAACCCCTATCATCAGCTACTCACTGGATGCCTTCTTATATTCCCAGAGGCAAATGTAGATAAAGGAAATAACTCTCTCAAACTTACCAACAATGAGCCAGCACAAACATATTTTCTATTACTTTGTTAACAAAAAACAGTAAAATAAAATAAAAACGATGACAAACATAAGGATCAACAAGTTTTTTTTATGATGCAATGGAACAGAATTCTGTAAAGGCATCATCTATTTGCATCCTTTCCACAGAGCTGCAAAGAGGCCATAGTAACAGAGTTCCAACTGGAGACAGATGGCTGGCAGAGCGAGGCCTTCAGAGTACAGCAGCTTGTTTCACAAAGTCATTCATCTAAGATGAGGGTGTTTTATGGAAACTGTAAGAGCATTTGAAATCTAGCTAGCAGCAATGCTAACCATCCACTGATCCTACAGAGCTCACACCACATCTGTGAACTCAAACGAAACACTTCATGAATTAAAGTTTGCTTGGCCTCCTTCCCTATATAGAGCCTACTCTCTTGAATTAAGGGCATCAACTTTAATTGTCTGAAAGATAACCATTATACTGTTGCTCTTCACTTGCACTTTGACACACTTAAAATGGTCTCATTTATCTTGCTGTAACATATACAATCACTATTTTCAACCAAAGTTTGCTATGGTCAAATACATACCTTAAGTCACTGAACAGAGAATGAAAATGGCGATTATCTTGTACAAAATGATGTTGTTGCCACTTTGAACATTGCCTTATGGCAGAAATTACTCCCTATCTGATAGTGTTTTGGAATATTTTTAATTAATAACTGCTTTAAGTAAAATTAGAATTAACAATTGGTGTTTCCCTGGCATGTTATGAAAGGAAGAATAAAAATGAGAAAAGGAAAATATATTCTCAATGAAAGCTATCAATTTGAGAGTAGTTAAAATGCCAGTAAATTTATACAAAAAGTATTTATTTCCTCTTAAACATTAAATACACATTACATGTGGAGCAACTGAAATCCTCATGTTCAATTTTATTGCATTTGAAAAACAAAAATTTCTTAGCTTCATTGCATTACAAAGTAGAGAAGCCTTATTTTGAAAAACAAAAGTTTTCCACATTCTCTACTTGATTCAAGTAAATTTCAGAACACAGAAAGAACACAATAGAGAAGAATAAAACAACCTATTCTACACCATGACCAACTAAAGCCATTATCAATTTTGATATATTTGGGTTCTCCTCCTCCTTTTTGGATTTTTGTTGTTATTATACTTTAAAACACAGACCCAGGAGGGCCTCAAATTTCTAATCTTCCCTCCTTTGCCACCTACTTCTGGGATTAAAGGCACACAACACCATACTAGTTAGGCTCCTTTTAATATTCACAATTTTGTGTTTAATATATGGTTAGTCACCAAATTAACATACAATTTGTATAATTGTTAGAAATACTGTATGCACAGAGAAAAGTATTGTGTGACAATAATGCATTTGTGGCAAACAGTATTTTATAACCTCCAAAATTTTAGCTCATCACATTTCCTTCCTGCTTTGTGCTTGCTGGCAGCTGCTGAATTGGAAAAGTTGGGGAAACCTAGGAAAGTGGTGTTGGTCCTGGCTGGATGCTCTTCCAGTGCAAAGCCTTCATCACAAAGGACATCAGTGATGGCACCTCAGATCGTTCCTATGCCATGCTGTGGTGCCTGGAACTAACAAAGGTGACCGAAAGGTGACCATTGGGACCAAAAAGTAAATCAATCACCAAAAGGTCAAAGATGAAGTCCTTGATGAAAGCCCAAAAGGTACTCAATGGATACCCAGGGACAAAACTGTGGTCGACAGGGATGTCTACAGAGACCTAGTTCTAGTGTACAAGAAGGGTTGGGCAAACTAGGGAAAGCCTGAGACGTGCTGCAAGACAGCTTCTGACTTAGATTATTGTTTGTTTTGTTTTAATCACAAAAAGAAAAACAATTCTTCTACATCAGTTACTTTAATAAAAGGATAACCTGTTAATTTTTATAGAAGCTTCTTACACAATTATATAAATTTCTGATTAATTCTATGCTTACACATATAAATGATATAATACATAGAAATATATATAGCTTTGCCCCTATAAGAATTTTGAAAGCATGAACATTTCTAATTTATGAAGTGTAACATTTTCTTGGGTACCTTTAACCATAGCTAACTAAAAGTGCCTTGAAATGCATTTAACTTACTACTAACTGAAAAATGAGGTCAGAATTCATGCTATCTTCCCTGTGTACTCTGAAAGGTTGGTTGCTTGGCATGTCATAGTTCCAATGACTCATCTAAGTACTTAACTGCAATGACTTCAACAACACATTATGCATTTGGAAGAACAATGTCTTTAATAAAAAGTGAAAGAATGTCAAAGAACATTCTGCTCTGTGTAACGAGGCTTTATAGATTCAGTCTGTTATTGATACAATACCAAAAATCCTTCATGTATTTATTGAATAGCAATTAGCTTTCCTCTCAGAGCAAAAGTATGTTGAATTTAAAAACATGAAGATGATTCTGTTATAAAGATCTGAAACATGAGCCAAAAAGTTAAAAATAAGAATTTCTACAAGTTCTTCCAAAATGTTTATGGCTAAAAAAAATAAAAACTAAACAAGTATGTAGAAAGTTTACTTAAACATTATGGCTCACTCAGATTAAAAAAAAAATAGGGTGACAAATAAAATATTTTAACTAAAAATATAGTCAAAATAAGGAAAACTCTATAATGTATTCCTATGAAGAAATAGTTGAATAAAAAAAAAAAAATCAAGATTTTTAGGTAATGTAGCAGTAAGGAGACACAGCACGGTCCTCGGGGGACAACAGGAAGAGGCTTGTATGACGTATGCAGAGGACATATTTGCAGAACCTTCAGCTTCACCTTATTGGTTCACTCATACATTGTTTTATTCATTCACCCACTCATCATTCATTCACAGCTCTGCCTTACTAAGGCTATGTGACCTTGGGATCTGCTTAGTCTTCTGAGCAATCTAACTTCCTAAACTAAAAGTATAAGACAATATAGCAATGTGTGACTTTTCACAAAGAAAGTTACTTTCAGGAAAAAATGAAAAACCAAAATGAATAAGCAAAAACCAAAACATTTCTGTGCCTTATAACTGGCCCCAAGAGGAAGAAGGTCAATCAAAAAAACAAGTGCTTACTGTACTTCGCTGAGCATCTGAACCTATCTGAAACATTGTCTTCCATATTCTCTCATTTTAACTTAGCCATAATCTCAAGGTAGAAATATTATTATTCTTTCTTTATATGATAGATGAAGAAACTGAAGGAAAATGGACATTCTTTTTTATTATTTGCAATGACAAAACCATGCATGAGTAACAAGAATCTACATGTCATCACTCCCTAAACTAGAAATGTTTCCAAGGGGGCTGGTAAGGTGAACAGGAATTCAATAAGTATTTGCAGGCAAAGGGGTGATTTCCAAGGAAACCACAGAAATGACACCTTGGGAAGCATTTTTTTGGGAGTAAGTGTAAGGTTGTATATTTAATCTACAAGTTCAAAGGTAACTGTGGTGGTATGTTCAGAAATGTGCATAATTAATTTAAAGCCCAATTCTGGCAAAACAATAGAATCTCCACTCAGCTAATATTAAGGATCCCTACTAACCAAGATAAAAACAAACAAACACATAAACAATGGATCACACAATGTGATGTGATCAGATGACAAGCTCCTGTCCCTAAACCATGTGCTGTCCCAAACTTTTTGCACTGTCTCATGAACTGCCTGTTCAAATTGGTTTTTCTAAAACTGTTTAACCTATTTGGGGTAAGACTTCCCACTAACAAAACAAACATTTTTATACCTCTATAAAGGACAAAATGGTTGATACCATTGCTGAGCAGACAAGAGTTAATTAAATAGGAAAGACATCGATTACATCAAAGCTGCTGGAACAGTGCACCGAGTTCCTCGGGAGCAATCATCAGAACACTTTATGCCTAACTATATGAGAAACTAACAAAGGTAATCCTCAAGAAGCAGTGTATTTACTTCTTTAAGTTATAGTATTATTTTTTGGTTCAAAGACGACTTTAAAAGGGAGATGCTATGGTCTGTCTCTGGTTTCATAGAAGCTACCCACTCTTACTTTTGCACTGAAGCTGAAATTGCCCTTTATGATAGCTACCATTCCATTTCTGCTGAGATAGTGAAAAAAAAAAATCACATGTTTTTCCACTTCAGGTTATAATAATTACAAGCCAGCTTTGATGTGCAGCTAGCTTTCAAGGCAGTAATGTCTTGCATATTTCATAAAGAAGCTATATTTAGGAGAGCAATTTAGGTTAAGCACATTAGACCCATACAAGAGAATATTGTGTACCAAAGAAATTCACCTGAGAAAGAAGTGCATTTCCTCTCTGCATTAGAATGCTTTAACAGAACCAAATGTACAAAAGGTAGAGGAAAGTGTTTACCTTCATCATTTCAGGGTACTGCCTAAGTTTCTTCCCACATGGAGCATAATATGCCACTTCTCCTTGAAGGCGCCCACCAAAGTTTCTTACCCTTGTCTCTCTTGGCCAGCTACATGTAACAGAAAAGAGCATTAGAAGATACTTAATTTTATTACAAAAACTTTTAGAAAGTTGAAAAAAGTAAACATGCTCTTCTTCTTCTACATATATATGTATATATGTAATAATTTAACCCAAATGCATGTATTATTAAAATGATTTTGATTTTTAGCTAGCTAGTTCATCTACAAAGTAAAGACAACTTGAAAACATTAAACTATCAAGTTTTATAGAAATCACAGCTGGAATTACTTTGAGGACTTACATATTTGAGTAATTTATCATTGCACATGGATTGTTTCTTTTAACAGCAGGAAGCTCCAAGTACAAAGAGCATACACATGCCTTCCCCTATGCCTGGGGCCCTGAACACCCAGGCTGAACTGATACTTGTAACTAGAACCAATTCAAGTACTTTAGCCTCTGCCATGACATCTTTCACTGTCCTTTATTTCAGTCTTGGCAAAGCCTTCTGATAGCATTGCTCCTGCTCTTTGACATGTGACTGGCTGTTGGTTCATTCCAGTCACATGAGCCCATCCCCACACTGCAACATCTTTGTTGCCTCCATGCGACATTGGTGCACTTTGGGTTTTCTGGTAAGTCAACATTTTCCCTTTGTTACGGGCTCTTCTGTTCTAATCAACAATTATGTAGAAAGGAGAGAATAGGAAATTAAGTATACATTAAACATGCATAAACTAATGGAGGAAAGCTTTGTGTGGCATACCCATATTCCAGAGGGACACGCAGCTCACGTTCATCTGTCACTCTTCTTCTCTTGGATGTACCTTTAAGAAAAGTCAACCAGGACATGAAATGTTGAAATGGACAGATGACAGCTTCCTGATAGTTCAGAGTTTTTTCTTATAAAATAATTTAGTGACAGATTATTAGTATATTCATCAAAACTTCATTATTTCTAGGTTTGTTTTTACAAAGCACACTACATATGACAGAAGTATTTACCCCTTTTGACCTAATGACAGATGCTAGATTTCTCACGAACAAAACTGCATAGTCATTAGTAGAAGCACCTTGTCATTAGTAGAAGCATCAGTCAGGAAGGACACAGCTGACAGGTTTCAAAACCAACTCATTGTCCTCTTTGGAAGTCTACAGTTTTTCAGATAGATGCTATAAATTTTAAATGCTGGCTCAAATATTTAAAGACAACTTAAGTTCTATGGACATTTATATCCATGGCCCAAGACAGTACCAGTCCTTTAATTAATCAAAACCACACAGGAACTGTGGTTATATGTACATTTTTAAGACAAATACAGATAAATATAAAATTAGTAGGATATCATGCTTGTTTGTTGTAAACAAAAGCAAAAATTAGAAAGTGCCAATGGAAGTAAAGTAAAAACAGTAGCAAAATACTGTACTATACAGACCCAAATTTCTTTTAGTTATTGGATGAGAATACAAAGTAGCTTTGGATTGTTAAATGTAGGAACTTTTAAAATGAAAATGCCTAGAAGTTTATAAGAAATCAAACATGGAATCTATGGACTAAGACTGCTATTCACTTAAACTAAAAAAGAAAAATCTAAGTCTAAATTGAATTCCACACTAAAGGATAAACATAAAACAGGAAATCAAGAGAGATCATCAATTAGATTCTTAAAATAAAAACCACAGGGGGAAAAAAATTAAAGTAGCAGGCAATGGATTACATCTTTTCAAAATGCATGTTTCTTCCTAGGCACTCTAACATCTAGATGCAATATATGATTACAGTGAGATCATCTCCCGAAAACTGGGTAACTGGTAGTCTTGCTGCAGTATGACTGACTTCACATTGATAGAAATAAACTGTAGGTACCAGAGTGTGGACTCGAAGTGAGTGTGGAAGAAGAAGTGCCAAGAAAAGCAGGAGACTGGGACTCAGAGCACAGGGCAGCAGGAGCAGAGCCTGGGGCGCTTCCTATGTGCAGGTTGTGAGGTGTTGAGTGAGCTGTGAGACTGATGGGAGGGCTTTTGGCAGAGGAAGTTGTCTGGTTCAGGTTCGAGGCAGCTTTCTCTCCTTCAGTGTCACTATCTGATTCTTCCTGGTCTTTCTCATCGTCGTCTTCTGAGCCTTCTGTATCTGATTCTGAATTACTATCTGATTCTGGGAAGTAAAGAAGCACTTGGATATTACAACTGGGTCACAACCAATCACCTGCATTTCACACCTAAAGGGACTATTTCAGAACCAGTATTTGCAACTGAGAATTCAAGGAAGCAAATTCCCAAGAGTAAGTGTAAATGTAAAAATTATCATCTCATCAGCTATTTAAGTAAAGTATATGTAGACTATGGCTCCTCACATTTCTCTTAAACTGATCCGTTTTACTTAACATTTGAATTATAAAATAATTCCCACATGACATTACTCACATTTCACTTCAGCTTAATGCTTTCAAATTAATTTCAACCTAATAGAGAAACTTAGGTTAAAAAGAGAGATATCATTGATGAGCAAACTGACAGATGCCAGTGTTTACACAGTCTCCTGCATGAACCTCACTGTCCTGGAAAAACCATCAGCCTGTCATGTGAGATTCTGCACAAAAGAAAACCATCTTCTAGGAAGAGTTTTGATCAGGTGTTCTGTATTTATAGCTGTAGTTTTTCTAGTTATGCAAAGACCTCATCAGGCTTCTTGAGATTCACAAACAATGCTCACAGAAATAACTGTGAGGAGATGAAAGACAGGCTGGGGGAGGTAGGTCTGTTCTGGCTGTACAGTCCAACATGTTACATATGTTAGTACATACTCCTCTAGACATGCAACAAACAAGAATGGAATAAACTCTATATAAACACAGGACTATACCATAAAGATTTTCAGAACGGCATCCAGATGGCAGGGTTAGCTGTGGTACCACTGCCTGCACCAAGGATCAATAAAAACCTAGTTTTTAAAAGCTCTGACTACTGAGCGTCAGCACCTTTCAAGATTTTACACTCTTAGGACATTAAATGATATAATGACTATTTCCCTATTCACATTGGTTACTGACAAATCCACATACAAACATATTTATGTAATCTCTGAACTTAAATTTTAAGTTGTTTTACATAAATTGCAAAACAACTTAAAATTTAAGTACAGAGATTACATAAATAGTTTGTATTTATGTACAAACATACATAAGGGAGGGAGACAGGGAAGAAGGGAGAGATTAAGGGAGGGAGAAAGGCAAGAAGGGAAGTAGGGAGGGAGGGAACACTACAGAATAAATGAAAATTTAATAAAGGCTTAAGTTCCTGACCCCATGTTACTTAATAAATTCTGATATCAGAAAGGACTTAACGTTTCGGTTCTTTTTGACTGACCATGGTGAATAATTTCCATTTTGAAGATATCCAGTAAAGGTTTTATAAGTAGCAGGAGATTATAAAATACATCCTAGAATATTTGGAAGTAAAAAATGGCCTTGGTATGAAAAGGAAAAAAAAAAAAAAACCAAAAAGGTTGGGAAGAAGGGAAGGAACATAATGAGGGAAGAGAAAGGACAGGTTGACTATATTCAAAATATACTGAATGGTATTCTCAAGGACCTAATAGTTTTTCTTCTCCCCAGCACAGGGTTCCTCTGTGTATGGCTGTCTTTGAATTCCCTTTGCCTTCCAAGTGCTGGGATTAAAGGTATGAACAACTATGCAAGGCTCAAAATTTATTATTATTATTATTATTATTATTATTATTATTATTATTATTATTATTATTGTCTTTAAGGAGAGTTTATCTATGTCGAACTCAGAGTTCTGCCTGCTTCTGTCTCTCATGTGTTGGTTTTAAAGGCAAAAGGCATTTGCTACCACCAACTGTCCAAAAAATATTTTTTAAAAAAAATAACAATTATACTGTGGAAAAAATGGTCTGGAATGAAATGCAAATTCAGCAAGTCTATGAAACTGTTTGATTCATGCATCATCATACCCACTAGTTAACTCAGAATTTCAATATCAATTGCTTTTATATTATATCAGCTATAAGAAATAGTGAATGACTTTCAACTATGCAAATTAAGATTTTTTTTTCAAGCATTTTGGTACATAAACTTTAAATTTTAAAACAGAAATTAACCTGATTGACTGTCATCAGACTCATCATCTTCATCATCCTCTTCGTCTTCTTCCTCATCATCTTCCTCTTCATCCTCATTTGAATCTTCAGAGTCTTTACTACTGGGAATGTCTGAATCCGTTCCTCGAAACTGTTCCACCAAAGACTTTGAGGGATGGGGGTGATGCTGTGTTTTCACCGGGGTCGCGTTATTGCTCATCACTTTCTCCTTCCCTTGACTGTGCAGTAGGGGAGAGGCAGAGGGCAGGACAGGGGTCTGACTGGCAGCTCTTCTCCCTCCTGTGCTCAGGTTGACAGGTGAGGAAAACGGGGTGCTACTGGCAACACTGTCGCTCATCTTACTCTGCATTTTAGTTTTGGTAGTGAGTGCTAAGGGAGCTTCTTGAATGACACTTTGAATAACTCCATTTGGTTGGTGATTACCTAAAAGTGCATTTGCCAAAAATGGGTTAGGGTGGTTGTTTTCTATTGGTTGTTTGGGAAGTGCTGGTGAACTAGAGGTTGCTTTTGTATCTGACAAAGCTGCAATAACTTTCTTCAGGCTCTTCGACGACTCCTGCTTCTTTACTTGTGATGGGAATGTCTGCTTATATTGTTCCTGATGAAACACAAGAAATAAAACAAAACAAAACAAAAAAACCAATGAGACAGGCCAGAAAACAAAGACTGCTTCCATTCGTCAGCATCAGAATATAGCTTCACAGAGAACCTTAAAGTGTGACAGACAGGGGCTGGGGAATGACTATCGACAATGACAATTGGCTGCTGAATCTTGGCTAGACTACTCAATATGTTTACACTTTTATTCATTTAACCACTCAAAACACATGTGCTTTCTGACTGCCCCCCTCTCTTTACTGTTGCCCTCATTTTCACAAAAATCCAGTCCTGAGGCCCTTGCCTGTCTCTTACCAAGTATGTGAATTCATTCATTAAATGTCTTGGGACATATTGTCATTTCTTCCTACCCAACTCCCAACAAATACAAAGAAACTTTTAAGTTACATTAATTTTCTTTTCTTCCCCCCCCCCCTCCCTTTCTCTCTGAGACAGGGTTTCTCTGTATTGTTTTGGAGCCTGTCCTGGAACTAGCACTGTAGACCAGGCTGGCCTCAAACTCAGAGATCTGCCTGCCACTGCCTCTGCCTCCCTAGTGTGCCACCAACGCCTGGCTTAGTTTTCTTTTATTAGCTTCAGGGAGCACTGCCACCCTTCTGAATGAGGTAACATGGAAATTACTTCTTAATGAGTCACAAACCTACCATTCTAGCTAGACTGGACTATTTTGAAGGCCAGTACCATATCACACTTTAACTCCTCCTACAGTTTGCTAAAATCACTTGTCTAATGAAATGTTTCAGACAGATAAAATACTGCCATGGCTTCATGCTCCAACAAAGCAACTTTCCACAATTGTCTCAGTAAAAATATTTTTTTTCACTCTATCCCCAGAGTGATCTATCTGACAGCTATCCAACAGCATACTAGTTGTTGTTTCTTCCTCTTTTGAGACAAAGTGCCATTCATATAGCTAGGCTAGTCCTGAACTCCTGGTCTTCATGCCTGTAAGTCCCAAGTTATTGGATTACAGCATTCGCCCCAAACATGTGATTCTCTAATTTTGTTTTGATTATACAGGTCAGAATATATAATGCTCTAAAGAGCTAAGATTCCTTTCATTGTTTATAAATTTCTATAGCAAAAACTGTCTTCCTAGAACATTACCTATAGCCCTGTACTTGAAACACACCTGAGACCAATACTAGATTATCAACTGACTTTATGAGGAAGAAAAGTCTTTTTGCCTTTTGAGATAAAAGTCTCATTTTATAGTTCAGGTCACCCTGGGACTCAGTGTCGCTGAAATTGTCCTCCAACCCACTATAAGTCTCTTGTTTTAGCTTCAGCTGGCATTATAGTACGAGACATCATATCCAGTTAGAAAAGGTTCTCAAAATAAAATTATAAGATATTGGGAGGCCAAAGGGGAATTGGGTGCTAGGATTAGCAGCTGAGAATTTGCACACGGCCGTGGGTTCAACGTCCACCATGAGAGGAAAACAAACTTTCAGAAGAATAGCAATTATCTTAGGAAAGTTTTATAGACAACCAAACCATAAAATTTACTTCCATGGATAAAAATGGAAACCAGATATTAGAAACTACTTTAGGGATTGGAGTTATGGCTCAGTGCTAAACAACACTAGCAGCTCTTTCAGAGGAACCAGGTTCAATTCCCAGGAGCCACAGGGAAACTCACAACTGTCTGCAACTCAAATACAGAGGTTCCCATGACCTCTTCTAGCCTCCAAGGGTATCATGCACATAAGGAGTACCCAGACATACATGCAGGCAAAACACCCATACATATAAAAGAAGAAAATATTACATCTTTAACAAGACTACTTGAGCTGGGCAGTGGTGGCACATGTCTTTTCCCAGCACTTGGGAGTCAGAGAGACAGATCTCTGTGAGTTAGAGGCCAACCTGGTCAACAGAGTGAATTATAGACAGCCAGAACTAGAGCTATTACACAGAGAAACCATGTCTCAAAGAAGCAAATCAAAACAAAACAAACAAAAACTTGAAAATTTAAAAAAATATATGAAATATATTAGTATTATTGACCTAATACATAATGATATAGAATTAGTAAAATATATTATGTTAATTTTAAAAGTAGGGGACTGGAGAGGACTCAGTGGTTTAGAGTACTTGTTCTTGCATAGGACCAGAGTCCAGTTCCCAGAACCTATATGGTGGCTCTTAACCACCCAAAACTCCACTTTGAGAGGCTCTCACTCCCTCTTCTGATCTTCTCAGTTATCAGGCACACATGTGGTACACAAACTATATCAACACAGGCAAAAAGCTCACACAGAAAAAAAAATGAAATTCTTCTAATACTTTTTGGAAAACAAATGCCACTATATTCATACTAAATGCAAGCCACCACTCTTTTTAATTAGTATTTATTTGCTTTGTTCCTTTTGTGAAAGGAATTTGAATACTATAATTCTCAGATCTAATACTTTTATAAATCCAAGATATAATTTACTGGAGAAAAACTTAATGTGTTTTATCTCTTAAGAACGTAGCCATCGAGTTCCAGGACAGGCTCCAAAACCATATAGAGAAACCCTGTCTTGAAAAACCAAAAAAGGATATCATATACTAAACCTTGTAGTAAGTAATATATGTTTCCTAGTTTTCACTGTACGTTGATTAATTTTTCAGCAACTGCCTCTTGCTTTAACTCTAAAGAATCTCATACCATATGTTTATACCCATTTCTCAGGAATAAAAAAGGTTATTATATTTTTAACTTCAAGGCAAGTCAGGTAACCTTAAGACTACACATATTACCAACTTGAATGTTAGGGAAATTATCTAAAAATGGTGTTTACAAGTAGAAAATCTATTGCTGTTTTAGAGCATCAACTACCTATATGGCAGTGTGTGGTGAGAGAGGGGTTTGAAGTGTAGCCAGTCCTACTTCTAAGGCCTTATTTTATTGTCCCTTATCTCATTTTCTACAAATGCAAAAATACTCCAGGTCTGACTTGACTGACATAGATATATCAAATTCTACTCCTGGGTGTGTGTGTGTGTGTGTGTGTGTGTGTGTGTGTGTGTGTGTGTGTATGTGTGTCTTTCTCATTTAAATTACAGGAACATGATGTAAACATCGTAGGAATCAATGATAAATCAGAAATTCATACACTAATGAAAAGACTGATGAATAAATAGCAGATAGTGTGGAACAAAAAGAAGAGATTGTCATGAAAAATAAACAAAATTCAATATGTTACAGTGCTCTATAAAGAAAACTATGTCAAAAGAAGAATTCATAAAATATTCTGTAATACATGTGGATAATACCATTTAGAGTTGAATCAAACTAATACAAATATCTATTCACAGGCCTGGAGAAATGGCTAAGAGATGGCTCAGTGGTTAAGAGCACTTGCTCCTCTTCCTGCTCCTCTGCCAGGGGACCCAGGTTTGGTTCCCAGCAAAGACATGTAGCTTGCAACCATCTGTAACTACACTTCTAGATGATATGATGCTTCCACAGGCTGCAGGTAAGCACACGTGCATGCATGCACACATGTGCAGACACAGACACACACACAGAGGCATGTACGCATGCACACGACATCTTTGCACATTAAAGAAATGTCTGTTTACATAAAATACTTGCAATTAATTATTATTATTTCAATAATTTGTGTATACTTACGGAATGATTTCTAGACAGTATGAACATTAAAACTTTTAATTAGAATGCACACAAATATAAAATTAAAAAATAAAAAGCAACAAAACAATGGTTGCTTTGGGTTTTAGAGTAGACAAAAATATAGGTATATGCTACTGTGCTAGTACTGAGAAAGAATTTTCTAATAAGAGATTTTACATTCTAGGAGTAAAGGTTAATGTACATGAAAATTCATTTCTTCAACAGAGACCATATTTATAATACAATAAAGAGAAATTATTAACAAAAGCAAATATAAAACACATCTTATTCAACTATAATATACTTTTACTGCCAAAATAGTAGACAGAAGGGTAGAAGGGGGTGGAATGACACAATAGTTTTGTCAGAGGATATGAAATGGGGGGGGGGAGCAGGGGGTGTTGGTAGGTCTTACTCTACCACTAAGCTACATTCACAACATAAAATCTTTTTTCCTCTCCTGAAGTTGAGAATCAAGCCCAGGGCTGTGTTCCATATTTCAGCTAGACCTTAGCCCCATCTGTAATAAAACTCTAGTAATAAGATTCTTGTGTACATAATATTCGACTTACCCGTTTGGATCGCAGTTCACTGGTCAAAGAACTAGATTCTTCAGAGGTATTTTTATTCCCTGCTTTAAGTACATCAGGAGAAGGAACTATGAGTTTCCTGTAAGTTTCCTTTTTGGCTTGATTTACCAAAGACAAAGGTTTCACATTGGCCACCAATCCCGTAGACTGTATTACACTGGTGTGTTTGTTCACAGATTCCTCCTTTGCCTGAGAGCTTTGGAAAATAAATGGAAGCTGCTGTGACGAAACCTGAGGCTGCTTCTGCTGGGATTGGAATGATGAGTGAGTCTGGGATTCAGACACTAGAGGTAATGGCTGGTGTATTCTTTTTTCCTGGGCTTTTTCTGTTGCTTTCTGTCCATCTGCTTTTGGGTCTGAAATGCCATGTAGTAGCACCTAGAAATAAAATTGCAAAGGTAGTTATCTTGGAATCCATTAAGAGGATCAAGTGGTAAAACTTGGAGAAAGAGAATGTTTTAGAAAGTATTGTTAACCACTTACAACAGACATAACACAACATTCATGCTCACTAAAACATAACCAAACACCCTTTAAAAATTGTTTTCTATATGACAGAACTGAATTAATCAATGTGAACAGGGTATGCTTCGAGATGCTGGCTCTAACTCCTAACTGTGGATGGGGTCTAGACATGAGATGTAGGCTCTAACTCCTGACTGTGGATGAGGTCTAGACATGAGATGCAGGCTCTAACTCCTAACTGTGGAGGGGGTCTAGACATGAGATGTAGGCTCTAACTCCTAACTGTGGATGAGGTCTAGACATGAGATGCAGGCTCTAACTCCTAACTGTGGAGGGGGTCTAGACATGAGATGCAGGCTCTAACTCCTAACTGTGGATGGGGTCTAGACATGAGATGCAGGCTCTAACTCCTAACTGTGGATGAGGTCTAGACATGAGATGCAGGCTCTAATTCCTAACTGTGGATGGGGTCTAGACATGTGCAGAACAATCAATACCTGGTTGTTGCTTTTGTGTTGTGCTTCAGTCTCCGAGTCAGAGTCCTCCTCTTCACTCTCCTCAATACTTTGATCCTCTTCCTCTTCCTCCTCGAGATCATCTGAGTCACTACTACTAATGCCTTCACTTGAGGTGTCTGATGATGTTCCTGAATCGCTATCACTGTTGCTAGAACTTTCCATAGCTTTCTTCCTAGGTTTCTGGAGAAAGAACTGTTATTTGGTAAGTTATCCTTGTGAAGAAATTCAGGTTCCAGTAAAAGACATTCTCTTCTAATTGTCAAATGATACCTTCAATACCAAAACACCATTTTAGGAAAGATAAACGATATATCATAAGGGTTATTATTAACTAACTAACTAATCAGACAGAAAATCTTAATAGAGATTGTAATTTCTAGTTGGGCGGTAGTGGTGGCACACACCTTTAATCCCGACACTTGGGAGGTAGAGGCAGGCAGTTTTCTGTGAGTTCGAAGCTAGCCTGGTCTACAGAGAGAGTTGCAGGACAGCCAGAGTTATACAGAGGAGAGGAGGAATATGAGAAGGAGGAAGAAGAAGAGGAGGAGGAAGAGGAGAAGGAGGAGGATGAGGAGGAAGAAGAAGAGGAGGAGGAGAAGCAGAGGAGGAGGAGAAGAAGAAGAGGAGGAGGAGAAGAAGAAGAAAAGTAAAGTATTGACATGGCTTGTCACTTAATGCATTTGCCCATTAATCTGCTTAGAAAAAAAAAAATGATTTAAAATATTGTTATGGGGTGGGGACAGGTTTCAGGTTGTAGCCTGAAAAAATTCCCTAGAGATTCTCCTATTTTTAAACTGTATTAAATAATTCTATTATATTACTTACTGTATAAATTATATTACTATTCACAAAGCATAAAGAATGGCTTTTAACAGTAGACACTGTTCCATGTAAGACAGTTTAAATATCATACATATGTAGATTTACCTACATCAGAGCTATAGTTCAAACAGTGCAATGTTCAAAACTGTAGTTCACAAAAATTACACAGATTTAATATGAGTTGTCTCTATATTATAAGCACACAAACCTTTATCTAAGATGTGCCAAACAAACTTTTGAGGTGTCTACTATAACAGTGTGCCACAGTGACTCTTTGTACACAGGAACCTCAATCTAATGGTGGAGAGAAACCTATTTTTAATATGAAAGCAAACTATTGCATTCAGTATTGACTAGTACATGGAAGATAGATACAGTAGACAGCAAAAGATTTATGGAGCTATGTTAAAAGAAATGTAATCCCTTATAATGGTATTTCATATCAACTCAGTAGTCAGAAAGCAGAGGCACAAATATCTCTATCAGTTTCAGACTACCCTGGTCTAAATAGTGAATTCAGGCCATCCAGGGCTATACAGTGAAACTTATAGCCTTTCAAAGAAATCCATATAAGACTTTATTGGGAAAATACAGAAGGTAACAGAAAGGGATAATAGTTCATATTTAAAAAGTGTGTTTATGTTGCCAGGCAATAGTGGTTCATGCCTTTTTCTGTGAGTTCAAGGCCAACCTAGTCTACAGAGTGAGTTCCAGGACAGACTGGGCTACACAGAGAAATCCTTTCTTGACAAACCAAAAAGTAGGCATATGTTTAAGAAATAGCCAGAAGGCATGGACTCCTGTAGTGATAGAATATTTTCAGGACATGAAAGTATAGCGGCACACAAAGTGGTAGTGATTTTATAAGACCTGAAGAAGAACAAGCCAGCCAAAATCCCAGAAAGAATGGGAAAGGGCTCCTGAAGATCAACCCATATCTGAGAAGCAACTGACAACTGATGGCCACTGGGAGAGGGAAAACCACTTTTCTTAGAGATGCAATGACGGGTTACTCATGCTCCAATAGATGCCCTACACCAATGTACATACAGGCAACAATGAATCTACTCAGTGGGTAATGGGGGAGTAGGGTGACGGGGAAGAGCACACATCAGCACACACATGAAGTTGGGAGAGAGGGAAGGAAATATAGAAGAAATTGGAAGACTAAGGAATAAAGAAGATGGATTGTATCCAAACACATTATGTGAATGTATGAATATTAAAAAGATAAATCATGAGATGACCATAAAACTTTGTTATGTAACAATAATAAAAGTCAACTGTTAGGAAGACTGAAAAGAAGAAATGTTGAAAAGATAGGACAATACAATTAAGTAGAACTCCCAATCATTTCAGTAGCATGCGCTGACAGATAAAGAATACAATATTGAGAAAAAATATAAATTACCCAAGTGTCAGTCCTCATTAAAACACAGATTTCACAACCACTGGGGATTTAGGAATGAAGGATAGTAAGGCACCTCTACAATGAGAAGGCAAATTGAAGCTGCAGTTACAGCTTTCAAGTCTCCACTCTCCTCCACAGATAGAGTCCCCAACAAGAGAGACTACCTGCTTCGTCATTCCCTGTGGCATCTATCTCCTTCTCTCAGAGCATCAGTGCTGCGGAAACAGCAGGGTGAGAAAGATGACAGGTAGAAGCCAATGGGAAAGAACAAAGTTAATGTTACATCTACCACTAGGATGGAATCAACTCCTTTGCAGTCAGGGTCTGTTAATAATGGGCATCTAACCTAAAATGACCACTTCTGGCTTAGCAGATGCTGGAAGGCAAGGAGTGTGGCCTCGAAAATAATTTGGCAGAGAAAAAACTACTTCAATGCTCATACCACCTGTACATAATTTGATTTTTTTAAAGATGACATGAGAACAGGGACTCTACTCCCCTCCCAGGTATATACATCTGGTGGTGCAGGTTCTCAAGCTTGAGGGTAGGTAAGAATCCATTCAATAACAAAGAGGAGAGATCATCACTCATAAACAGTTAATGCGATACTGAGGGAGGTGGTCTCTGAAAAGCATGTGTGTGACAACCAACCCCAGGGAAGCTAGCAGACAAGCGTCAGAACTATAGTGGCACTCAAGAAAGGCAGAAGTAAGTTTGGATATCAACAATTTTATTTCCAAAGTTCTAGGAATGGTGTGTGTGTGGTATTTGTAAATTAATTAGCTAATGTCTCTTACTTTCATGAAAACTTTTAAAAAGTCATCTAGAATTCATAAAAATGATCAAATGAGAGGTGCTTAAATTCATCCCATCTGATCACAGAGTTTCTTAGAACTCTCTTGAACTTTCGTTTCACTGTATGCTATTTTTTTTTTTTTTCAGTAACAAAACAAAGGCAGGTTATGTGCCTAAACATAGTATTGGTGCCTAAATCTGGGGATTCAGGATATGAGAAAAGGACTTAAAATCTGCTAGTGAGAACAGGAGACACAAATTAACTTGGGACATAAAATTTTGAGTGCTAAGTATCATTTATAAAACAGGAGCATTAGAGTACGACATGTGCTAGAGGGTGAAAGCAAGGCTGTGTTGCAGGCATGAGAACCTTGTGAGCTGAGGCCCAAGGGCTGACAAGCACCCTTATGCAGATGTAAGATAGGAGCTCTGCAAGACAAGGAATGGCAATGAAAACAGCCCCTAACTGGACTCTATTCAAAATGGAAAGCCAGCTGGGCCAGTCAGAGCAAAGCGGCAGGAGATAAGGGGGGGATGGGCCAACAGACCTCAGCTTAGAGGGCTCTTAAGAGGAAAGGGCAAGTGCATTTTGTTGTGGGAGCAGCAGATACTGCCTGTCAGAGTGATAATATAGAAGAGCCTCCTTAAGGTCCACAGAAAACCTGCACTTCTAATTTAAACATTTAAGCCTTTTTAAATTCAGAGCTCAGTACTATTAAATACACCCCATTTGGCACGTAACTATCAGAATATACCTTCAAAACTATTTTCATCTTGTGAGATGGGAACACTAAACCCTGGGCCAGGGAGATGGTCAGAGACTAAACTGAGCCTAACAACACATATGGAGGAGAGAGAGAAAGGATGCTCCCAAGTTATGCCCTGACCTCCACACTTGTGCTGTGAAATGTATGCTAGCACACATGTGCATAAACGTAAATCTATCTTAGGAGGAATCGTACTGTTCTTTTTTAGCTACCATGAATAATGAAACTACACGTTTATATATTTGAGACTCTTCATTCAAATCTTTGGGGCACATAACCACAAATGGATGTGCTGGACCATATTATAATTCTGTAATTTATACTTAAATTATAATTTAAATTTTTGGGTTCACTGTATATGTTATCCATGGCAACACATTGGTTTTTATGTTCCTTAAAATTTTCTTTAATTCATAAATAAACAGACAAATAATCTCATTGGCTGCACAGGACAGAAATTTATATAATTGCAAGAATAAAATACTTTCAATGTTAAGTAGTCTTATTTTCAAAACCAGCTGTCTGTCTATATACTCTGGTCTGCACTACATTCTAAGCAAGCAATACGAGGAAATTACTCATCAATGACTCTATCCCTGAGGAAAGACACACAAATTATCTGAAGAGATTTCTTTCAAACTAACTACACGGGAAAGTGTTAATGAGGCAATTTTTTTTAACAAAGCTTTTAATCTTGAAAAATGAATAAAAATACAGGATTTTATGTTCATTTTATTTAAGCAATCTGTTACCATAATACATGTTGGCACATGTATTACTCAAAAGTGCTTAAGATTATATGAAATCATAAATTTTACATTGTGATTAAATTCTACTTTAATTAAAACTTTGCTTAACAGTCAGTCTCTGTATACTATTACTTTTACTGAGTTGTTTATAAGCACCAATATGGTACTGATCTGTCTGTACAACCTGGGGGTTGGGGGGGACAGAGAGGTAAGTTTTGAACATGTGCCCCTGGAGAGAGGGTTTAGTGAGAAGTGCTGGTTCCTCACTAAAAAAAACAAAGTTAGGGCTGCTTCACATTCATGCCGTCCAAGGTTTTTGTGCAATGCCTTGAACCTGCAGACACTTCAAGTTTCTCTAGATTTCCATCACTACTACCACGAGGTAGGATGACAGTCTGAAAGGACAGGCACTTGGCTTTCAGAAATACAATAGACGTATATCCAATGACACAATGCATTGGGTTAGCTTCACAAAGCAAGGGAGGTAGGAGCAGGTGGTGTGTCACACAAAGGAGCTAGCACAAGCTGAGAAACAAGGTCTTGTTGCTTACACTGATGGGCCTGCCCTTGGAAACACATCCTAAGGGAGCCCTGGGAGCAGCTGAAGAGCAGCAGGTGGGAGGCGCACCCGACCCTGGGTCACGGGGTGGGGTGGGGGGGGGGAGCTAAGGCTCTTTCCTCAGGTTCTCTCAGGGGCTCAGTGTCTGAAGCAGAAAGAAAATGTTTGTTTGGGACCTTTGACAGGGCTGTTGAGATAGTCAATGAGTTAGACACACCAGGACACCTTCCCCAAGCTCTTATAAAGGTGTACTATGTTTGGGAAATATCCACTTCCTGCTGAGAAAACAGAGATCAAGAAAAGGAACAAAGGTAAAAACACAGCTAAAGGTGTCTTGGGTAAATGAAACTGGCACACAGGGAATACTGCCAGCTGGCTAGCAGGAAAATTATCTAGCAGGGCACCCATTAATTTTTCAGCAAAATTTGCTTATAAACTGTGTTGCGGGATATATGATCACACTGTGAAGCCAGAGTTTGTGTTAAATAAATAAAAGCAACCTTGGGTCAGAAGGCGGAGCCTGCAACTAGATGACAGAAAGCAATGACAGAGAGTCAGAGGAAGTGTAGAAGACAGAGAGGTGCACAGCACAGGAAGTAGAGGGAGGGGGAGGGACTCTGAATGTGGTGGCCTTTTCTGGGTTGGCACCACAGAAGAGACACTCCTTTCTGGGACACTGAAGAGGAGGGGAGGTCAGACAGCTGCTCCTCAGCCTCTCTAAGGAGCAGGTTTTCACCGCAGCCTCTGACTCCTGAGTCTTTAGTGCTAAACAGAAAGATAGAGATTTAGCTAAAAACTGCATTTGGTGGCAGGGTTAGGAGGTGAATCCAGGAAGACGAAGTCCTGCCAGGCCACTGCCTGAGAAGTAGGCCAGTAATGGTGGATTAGCAGATACTGGCTAGCAGATTCAGATGCAGCCACTGTGGTGGCTGAAAAACAATAAAACTGTTGTGAAGGCATTGCAATTCTCAAGATGGCACATACCATCTGAGTTCCCTGTACACCACTGTCTACATAAGGACACTACCAGCCAAGAGCCTGTCAGTTGACATGGAAGTAATTCACTGATAGCATAGTGAGATGGCTCAGTAAGTAAGCGCAAAGGCTGCTCTTTCAAAAGACTCAGGTTCAATTCCCAGTACAAACAAGGCAGCTCACAACTGTCTATAACACCAGGCCTGGAAGATTCAACTCCCTCTTCTGACCTCCGTGGGCACAGCACACTCCACAGACATAATGGAGGCAAAAACACCTACATACATAGAGACACAGAAACAGACATAAAGAGAAAGGAATACTAAATAGGCAGCAAAAAGCCCTCTTATAGGTAGGTCAATGCCTGCCATCTCTTGGGTTTTTATGGCTCTATTTTTGGCAGGATCTCTCTAACAGCCTGAAGTCAGCTTGCCTCAGCTGGGATTAAAGATGTCAGCCACCATGCCCAGCTGAGGACTCTCCCTTAAAAAGGCCTACTCTTTTGTCAAAGGCAAAAAGAATGTATTTAGTACTCAGAGACAATAAAATGACAACTCGCATATAGAAACAGAACTGGCTCAATGTGGTTAACTGTTCAATATGCATAATGGAAGTATTAGTCTATTGAGATTATCTAAGATTTCCCCATAATAAAAGATGGCTTAGTTTTGTTCCCTTAAACTATAGACGATGGAGGTAACATTTTTGGCTTCAAATTCTGACTCAGCCACTTAGTGGGTAACTATTTCAGTGTTAATTTCCAGTTTTTACTAATAACCACCAAATGTAGCGTACAGGATAAATTGAAATGCATATGCAAAGCAATTAGAATAGAGCTAACATCTAGTATTTCTCCATCAAGTTCTCTTGGGCCTGGGAACGTAGCTCAGTAGTACAATGCAAGTTTAGCTCCTAGGTTCAATTCCTGCAGCTGAAGAACTAAAAGAAATAAAAGCACAACTCATAACTATTACTACAAAATATATTATTTGTACAGGTACTGAGTTTTAATTGTCCCAGATATCTATTCTAATAAAAATATACACCTGCAAAAACAGGGGTTGCCAACAGGAAATTAATCCACACATTCTGGGGTCCTGACTTGTCAAGTATTTCCCATATAAACTGATCCAGAATGTACTTGTTCTTAAAGAGACCACTCACCTTATCTTTGATTTTGTCGGCTCTGGCATCCAAAGGCTGACTTTTGCTTTGTTCCTGATGACATTTTAGGGTTCCTCCACCTGAGCTTGTGCTTTGATTCTGTCCCATGGAACTTGAAGCCGGAGTGGACAGTACAGATGTACTGACACCAAGTACAGATGGTGCACTGTTTCCATTAACTGACCCATTTATACCTTGAAAATAAACATGTTTATGTAATGGGACATTATTTGGTCAGAACAAGGAATAGAATACCTGGTATGTGTGATGTGGATGAAGCTGACAAACAGTGTTTGTTAAAAAGAGGACAGACACTAAGAGTTACATATGATTCCTCTATGTGAACAATTAATGACGAGTACTACAGAGACAAGGTACAAGCAACAGATGTGCTGGGCCAGGGAAGGTAGTTAGGTAGAATTTTAGAATATGATTGATAGAGAACGGCCATCATGCAACATTATGAACATATTAAATCAACTGAATTCTTCACTGGCATTAAGCTCTGTGAATATCACTTAAGTTAAACAAACATGTTTAGGAAATATATCACATGTAAGTATTGTGCTTTTAGAAACACTCAATTTAAAAGAGCAATGGGCAGGGCTAGAGTGATGCCCAGTGGTTTCGAGCACAGACTGCTCTTCTAGTTCCAGGGTACCCTACATGCTCACACAGACACACATGCAGGCAAAACACCAATGTACATTAAAAAAAAAAAAAAAAAAAAAACAAACCAATGGACTATCTAAAACACTGTAACTTCTAAACACTATCATAACGATACTTAGAAACGGCAGAAATGCTGATTATTTAAAGAACAACACAGTAGTAGGGGACTAGCAGGGACAAAACTAATACTTAAGTGGAGAAGAAGCAGCAATCTATCCAGTCCGGTACATGAAGATAATGACATACAGAGGGGAGAGGAGGAAGACTGGGTTCAGATCCAGCCTAACCCACATCAATGTAATAAGCAGTTTTTCCTAGCACAAGTGTTTATTTGCCTTGGCTGCAAATCAGAACATGTGTAATCTGAAAAGATTATTAGAGGACCAAGCAAGATGACATAGAAGCATCCAGCAAAGGGCTCTAAAAGTGATCCTAAAAGCAAACTGCCACAGAGCGCTGGCAGAGGTTCCCGTCTTTCACTCATGCTCACGAGAGTACCTTTCTCAGGACCGTTTCGATTACTCTTTCCAGAAGTCCTTGAATGGAATGAAGAATCGTGATTCTGGGCTGGAGGAGCAAACAGTGGCGGAATTCCCAGTAACGGTGGAAAGAAGGGCGCTCCCGCACGAGCGTGAACGTCTGTGGTTCGCCACCATTCTGCACCTCAAAACCAAGCAAAAACAAATTGAATTAACTTCCAAACTCACATAGGGACTACTTTTACATTTTATTCCAGAAACAATGTTTCAAGTTTCTCCTGGGATAGAACTGATAGTTCTGATCTTCCCCTCCCCCCCCACTGTAATTGGGTAATTTGTATAATCCTCTCTTATTCAAGAATCTTCCATTAACAGTTTCCTACATTCAAGCTAAAAAAGAATGGTTTTCACAACTTAAAAACTGATAAAAACATGAAACAGGAAAAGAACCACTTGACTTAATAATCTATACCATCTATTTACTAAGTCAATAAGGAAAAGAACAAAGTCTGTATTCGTCTATTTCAAGATTTTAGATTTGAAGCTCACATTGGCAGTCTCTTAAGATTTTCCTCCAATTATATACAATATAAACCTAGGGGGTGGGTAATATCAGATAAGCATCTCAAATGCATTTATGGATGAAGTATTTCTGAGTCAAATAAAAACAAAAATATAGAACTCTAATAATCCCTTTTGGTTTTAGACTAAGAAATAAGTTCTCAAAGAAAAATTTCAAAACTAGTAACTTTTTCATTAAAATATTAGGTTTAAAAGCCAGGTAGTAGTGGCACATGACTTTAATCCCAGCACTCAAGAGGCAGAAGAAGGAGGAGTTCAAAGCCAGCCTGGTCTATAAAGTGAATTCCAAGACAGCCAGGGCTGCACAGAGAAACCGTGTCTCAAAAATCCAAAAACAAAGAAACAAAGAAAAAGGGCTTACAAAGCTTCTAGCTTTAAAACTGATATGGAAAGCTTGAGTTTTCCTTTATGCTTTTCATAAATTATAGATGAGAGTGATTTTTTTAATACATATCAAACAACTAAATTGGAGAAAATCATGGAATACAATTCAGTACTTCTTCATTAAGACTCTTAGTGGGGAAAGCCAATTTTTTAGGAAGAGTGGATATTTAAAAGAGATTTGGATTTTATCTAAAGAACCTCTTGTATTGCCTCATATCACATCCTGGAAACAATCTTCAACTGGATAATCCACTAAATTTCAAAGTAAGCTTACATACCGGTCTCCTAAACAATATGGCATTGTTTCTTTGACTGGAATAAACACAGAAAATTAGAGGAAAACATAATAATATCAGGAGATTGTACTACCATATCTTTAGAAAGTTCTAGGAGTATGCCTTCATTATGTAAAGGTGGTATTTGTTCAACTGGGCAGTGGTGGCACATGCCTTTAATCCCAGCACTCAGGAGGCAAAGGCAGGCAGATCTCTGAGTTTGAAGCCAGCCTGGTACAAAGAGTGAGTTCTAGGACAGAGTTGTTACACAGAGGAACCCAGGTATGTGTATGAAATGTTTCAGGGTCATTACCATTCCCAGAGACAATGTAGGCAAAACACTGCAAAGGCCCTTGGTGGCCCTCCAAGATGGAGTAGCTAGTGAACTGTAGCCTGAATGCTAGGACTTAAAGCAGGAAAAACTGAAAATTGCAGTTAATCAGTCACTCAACCATTCTCTAGATTGCATTTAGTTGGATAAGGAGTATGTTTTCGGGGAGGGGCTATCTGCACAAGCCATTCCTTCTTGCAGGTTTATAACTTAGTCTCCACTTAGTTGACAGACTGCAGTTTCCCAGCAATAACTGTTTCATTGAACTTGTGACCAAAGTCTTAAGGTTAGAGAAAAAGAACTAAGAAGCCAATAAAGTTGTCAAAGCTTAAAATTTTAAGTGTGATAGATATAATCAAATTCAGAAAAACAACATTAAAACGTACTTAAAACATACCTCAGAATGTTAACAGTAATCAAATACATAGTAGGTACTAGAGAATAATAGGAAAACCGTATGCTCACAGTGATGAGGCACCCCAGAGACAAACATACAAGATCAGTTAGATAAAGAAAATGGCCTTTAGTGATGATAAATCTCTAATATTATTACACAGGAAATTACAACTTTTCACTGAAGAGTTTATGTAGTTTTCACATTGAGGAAATAAATTCAGTCACAAGCTAACTTATCAAATGAAAAATAACAGTTAGGTTCAGGTTGAAAGCCTAAGCAAATGCAAAGTCCCTAAGAAACACTACAGCAGTCACAACAACCATTTCCAGTTTAGAGTATACACTGAATCTCAATCTGACCATGCAGTTCATTTCTTTGTAGGTTTCTTGTTCTTTGATTGTTGGCACCAGGGTATCTCAGTTTAGCCCAGGCTGGCACCAAGCGTGTGATATTCTGCCTGCCAAGCTCTAGAATACTAGCCATGTGCCTGCATGCCTGGCTCTGATATGACAGAATTTAAACATCTCTCATATATGGAAAACATCCCAAAATTATAGTATTAACATGTAAACAACAAAAATTGTAAGTATTTTTAAATAAACTTCTTAAAATACTATTTCAATGTAAAATTAAACTTTGATTGTATTATACTATCCATGACACAAGGTTAATTTGCTGTTTGAAATGTAAGATACTTTAAATATAAATAAACTTAAAATTGCTACTATCTTCTTGTGAATTCCTTATGTTTATGAGAGACTTTTTTTTCCTAAAGTTGCCATTTTGTTACCCTTCTGAAATAAAGAGAATTTATCTATTTAAATTATTGCACCAAAGTGTAATTTAAACAAAGTGATTTCTCTAAAATCAGTCATAATCTCTACCCATTTGGCAAGGAAGTACACACACATATGCATGTTTTTATCACTAATGCTTCTGCCTTATAATCATCTCTCTCTAGTAAGCCCCAAAATACATTGTACGGATGTGTTCCTACATGACATAACAAAATCAATAAACCTTATGCAGGTTCAAGAATTATGTTAATTGTGTATGTAGAATTTCTTCAATATTTTTGTTTATTTGCTGTGTGTGTTCATTCACATGTATGTGCATGAATGTCACAGTGCATGTAGAAGTCAGAAGGAAACTAGAGAGAATAATTTCTCTCCTCGAATCATGTGGGTCCCACAAACTGAACTCAGTCCTAACGCTTGGGAACAAGTGCCTTTTCCCACTGAGTTGTCTCACTGGCCTTAGGCTGGTTTTTATATATTGAAGATACTATTATTAAAGTAAAAAGTTATTTTTACTACTCATTAACCAACTAACTTTTCAGTATTTAAATTAAATATTATATACTGTTGTTTAGAAATGTTCAAAAGGAGTACTATAAATTATCACAAAACTGAAAGTACTGAAGATATCAGGAACTACGTACATTAACTATTTAGATATGATTTGGGTACTTCAGGAGTTAGCTTTTGATATATGGTACTAAAGAACCATGTTAAAAACAGAATGAACAAGGCATGGCACTGCTCACAAGGCAGAGGCAGGTAAGTTTGAGGCCAGCCTGATCTACACAGAAGAGTCCCAGGCAAGCCAGGTTTACAGTGAGACTCTGCTTCAATTAATTTTTTTAAGTCCCTGTTAATATATTAAAAGAAATATTCAGACTTGGTCAATAATGTCTATTCATAAAATTTCCCACCACCCCCTCTCCAAGACAATGAAATTAATGTGACTCAAGGTAAAATACTTGAAACACATTTGTAACCATTTTCTGTTTTCCATGTTTCAAAAGACACTTGATTCTTTATAAAGAACCAGTAGATACTTTGTCTGCCACTAAAGTGGGCAGGAAAAAATAACAATACTTAGTCATTCTGGACTAATTATACATGTCAGACACTGCACACAGCAACAGACATGCTTGTCTACTGGAACTTTCACAGAGCCCTAGAAAGCAGGGGATTTTACAGTTTTCAGTTTACAGGTTTAAAAATCTGGGGGTGAGAGGTCAGAGATTTGTCCAAGACAGATGTAAATGAAGGTAAATTTCTAGCTAGAACTAAGCTCTGCTGTTTTAAACAGTGTCCCAGGAAACCAAGCTTCCTTATTAAAACTGAAATGTATTATGCACATTAATGTTACATTTGGACTTAAATGTGTGTGAATGCAACTATGTGGCCAAGTCTATAGAATTGCATGTCACACTAGCCCTGACCAGGCACATAAACCAGCTGCATAACTGCTGTGGAAACATGTATTCCAAACATGCTTTGGAAACAGTTTTCAAATAGAAGACCATATAGAAACGTAAGATTCAGCCTCATTTTCCCAGCAAAGTAGAGAAAATGAAGACCTAAAGTAGTTGTTAGAAAAGCTAGACTCCTAGGGTAATTTTCCCCAGTGCTGGGTGTCTAACCCAGGGCCTCACATATGCTAGGCAAGTGCTCTAACCCGAGCACATTTCAAGACAAACTACATACTTGATTTAAATATTAGATAAAGGAGGCTAGGGAGAAAGTTTAGTCAATAAATCACTTGCCACAGAGCATGAGGACTAGAGAGCAATCCTATGTAGCAAGTGTAAAAAGCCAAGCACATATTTGGGAACAGAAAACAGAGATTCCAGAGCTGGCAGGCTGCCAGCCTAGGGAACCAGTGAGCTCCAAGTTCAGTGAAAACAAAATGAAGGCGTATCCTGATTGAGGACAACTGACTTCAACCTTTGACCTTCCAGAAATGTGTTCCCACGTGTGTACCTAGCACATAGCACAATATACACACAGAAAGACACATTAACATGCACACATATGCACACACCCACATAGCTACCCCAAAGAAAACCAAAGCTGATAAAAATTAAAACTGTACATTCACATTTTTATAAACACACGAATTTGGTAAAATGCATCATAAACACTTGCCTTAAATATTCTGTTCTATGACAAGTGTTTATTAGGTAAGCAAACATCTGAATACCCGATGTGCTGTAGCCCCTTACACTCATCTGTAAGTGATAAAACCAGGCCAATTCTTGCCTGTGAATTTAGTACACTATGCTTTGCTGTTCAATTTAGTAAACAATTACTGCTTGAGCATTTGCAGGCTTTCCTCCTTTCCTTGAACACCATAGGAGATGTTTACCTGGAAAAGATGTTAGTTGGGGATGTGCGGCTAAGGCTGTGGGTGTACCAAGTGTCCCCAAACCACCAAATTCTGAATGCCCTGAGCTGGCTGAATGTAGACCAAAGACTGGGTGGCTGACCATTGGGAAGGCACTCGACACTGTGGACAGGTTAAACGGCTGATCCCCAGCTGGTCTGAATAAATGTCCTGGGAGGGGAAAAAAACACACTTAAAGTTGTTTAGATAAAACAGATAAGATTTACCTGGTTTCAGCATTTATGAGGTTTACAACAATATCTTCTATATTAAATTTTTATTTTATATTTTCTTCTGTAATTTCTACTCTTCAAACCCTATAAAATGTTTCTAGAAACACAAAAGCATTTTAAGATTAATCAAAACAACTAGAAGACCATTACTAGCTTGAATTTCAGATCTCAGAACAAATGCCAATAACTAACTCTCATGTCTGACCTGAGGAAGTGAAGTTGGTTTTTTGTCAATACATGTGCATTGATGTCACAATACATTCTTTTGTTCTTGAGAACAATTAAAAAACATCCTATGAACCAAACCTTGAAAACTAATGACACAGATCCCAACTCCATTACCAAGTCATCATTCAAATGATCAGACTGGATGCAAAGAGCCGTGGTTTTCACATGCACAGCCAAAGCTCTGTTCCCCATCTAACATTTTGTTGAGAACAGAGTCCTGATTCCCAAAAGACAGCTTATGCCACTGTAGTCAAATAGTGCCAAAGACAGCACAATTAATACACTTACTATGGCATTTCTAAATGGATCCACAAATACATTTGTAGTCAGCTGCAGAACAAGAAAAAAATCTTTCCTTTACTTACAGGAAATAACTAGGACACCAGCTTCCTGCTATGAAAACAGAATATTATTCTGTTTTGAAATATTATGAAACAGCCTAGTACGCTAAGCTCCTTAAAGATTTTACTTTAAATGGTAAGTTATGCCTTGAATCCCAGTATTCAGGAGACAGAGCTAGGAAAATCTCCATGAGTGGAGGACAGCCTTAGCTGTACAATTAGTTCCAGGACAGCCAGGACTACATAATGACACCTCAGATAGATAGATAGATAGATAGATAGATAGATAGATAGATAGATAGATAGATAGATAGATAGACAGACAGATAGAGCAAGCCTATTTACTTTGAATATGGAGATGGTGATATACACCTGTAATCCAGCACTCAGAAGGTTAAGGCCAGAGGACTCAAAGTTCTAAACCAGCCTGGGCTGCACGAGGAGGCCTGACTAGCCTGTGCTAGGACTGGGGATGTAGATGCAGCAGAATGGTAGGGCAGAATCTCGAGTACTTTAGGGGAAAAGCCCATCTATTTTGTGAAATACTGCAGTCTACTGTTTAATTATCTTACTGTTTCTTTGTTATCTTACAAATTATCTTTGGCCTATGTCAATTGTGATAATGGATGGCAATTTCATAAATTTTACATAGCATGTCTGAGGTAAATGAAAAAGTTGAGTTATGAATGAGAATACTTTTGTTTATCAGTTAGCTATCAAATGTTAACTCTGTTTTTCTGGTCATTAAGAAAACAAGACCTAACGACCCGCGTAAGCTGATTTTTAAAAAACCTTATGCTTTTAAATGAGACAATGCTAATATTTTTATTAAAGTACGAATATTCAAATGGTTGCATCAAGTATATCTTTGATAGGAAGAAGTCTGGATTCAAGGAGGTACCCCATACAGGGGAGCACTAACCCCTCTCAAAGACAAAGCCTTCAGAGGCTGTTTATAAGGACGGTGTACAAAAATCTCTGAGACCAGAGAACAAGAAAAGGCCACAAGGTTGTTTTGCCCTTCCCTCCCCCGGGGCTTATTTTTGTTTTTTAGTTTGGTAGGGTGTTTTGTTTGTTTGCTTGCTTGTTGTTAAGATAGGGGTTCTCTATGTAGCCCTGTCTACCTTAGAACTTGAAGCTGGGTGGTCTCCAACTCACAAAGGCCTGCCTGCCTCTAGCTCCTGAGTGCTGGAATGGAAGGTGTGGCTCCATTCCCGGCAAAGAATACAACCTTGTGTGTCCACTCTAATCAATCTGCTTTTATTCTTTAAAGACAGAAAATTAGAAATTTTAAAAAATCTCAATGTACTTTTGAATTATTAGGACTCTAGACATTAGCTTCGAAGCTGAGATCAGATAAGACAGGGACAAATACAGTTATGTAAACTATCACAGTCTCTGGTTCTCATCAACTAAACCAACTTCTTCACTCAGTTGTACTAAACAAACATTTGATTTAACAACATACAATATATACACTTCCCTCTCTGGCTGTTTCTAACAAATGAGATAAACTCAAAATTCCAGTTGTATAGACTATATAGTCATCATGTACATATAAGTAAAGATATAACAAGTATGCATTTGTGTGTGTGTGTGTGTATGTGTGCGTGTGCGCACGCACATGCACACGTGCACGCATGTGGATGCTAGAGGGCAACTTTAGTGTCAGTCTCCCACACTGTCCACCTTTTCCCTTGAGATAGAGTCTCTCACTGTTCTGCAGCTCACTGAATAGACAGGCTGGCCAGGGACTAGGGCCCCACTTGTTTCCATTTCCTCAGGACTGGAATTATACATGTGAACAACTACACTCAGCTTTTGGTTTTGGATTTCTCCTTTTCTGTATGAGTTTGGACGCTTAAACTCAGGTCCTTTGTTTGTTTTTGCTTTTTGAGACAGGGTTTCTCTGTGGCTCTGGAGGCTGTCCTGGAACCAATTCTTATGGACCAGGCTGGTCTAAACTCAGGTCCTTATGTTTGCAAGTCCTTTACTGACAGAGCTATCTTTCAAGCTCTATCTCATTTATACTTTGAAAAGTAAGTAATATTCGATTGTACTTGCCAACTATATGTATGTACCCACAGCTTAATTAAAAAAAAAATCCTATGGGGCAAATTTAAACTTCCAAAACTACACAAAATATTATAAAAATTTGGAGGTGCTGAAATTATTGATGTTTGAAAACTGACTGGAAAATTCTATTAAGAACTAATGAATTAGCAGCAAAACAACATTCAGAAATATGCAATTACACATTAAGAAGCAAAAGGGCTAAATCTTAGAGTCTCGTGGGTAGAAAACATATAACATCTGAGTGCTTCGTATTCCTGGAGCAGCACTTAACACTCAGCAAGATATCTGACCATAATAAAGAATGTTTAACTATAAAAAAAAAAGTGATATATAAGCAGAATCTGAAGGTGTGATGTCTTTATTGGGTTTCTTTTACTTCCTACAGTTGTAAGCTTGTTTCCCCTTCCTCCCTCCACACTGTAACTGTTTAACATCTCAGGGCAAATGGATTCTGTGCCAGGACCTTGGTTCCATGAGAACTGAAACTGAATTCACTGTACTAGTACCCTCTGTCCCAGTATAATCTGAGCACAATGGGAACTTGAAGTATGTTTCCCATTGTTGCACATCTTTGTCACACTCCTCCTTCCACTTCAGAACCTCCAAGCCAATATACTCTGCTCTGTGACTTCTGTTTTATTTATATAATCATGTCTATTCTTTACTGCTCATTGTCCAAGAAAGGTCTCCAAACATTTCCAAATATGCTTTGGAATATTCATATTATTAAACACCTGTTTATATCATACCATGACTTTGATATAAAGTTAAGAAAGAAAAATCCTTTTTTCTTAATTTTTTTTCTTAATATTTTTTTTGTGTGTGTGTGTGTGTGCGCGCGCGCATTGGTGTTTTGCCATGGGTGTCAGGTCTTCTGGAACTGTAGTTATAGACAGTTGTGAGATACCATGTGGGTGCTGAGAATAGAACCCAAGTTCTCTGGAAGAGCGGAAAATGCTCTTAACAGCTGAGCCACCTCTCCAGCCCCCCCCCCCCCCCGTTTCTTAAATTTTACTCTGTCTAAAACACTAAACAAAGTAAATATCTCAGTACCTACTGTGGAAAACGTAAAAAAAGTTTTAAATCTTTTGTCCTTTAAAAGGGTAAACTAATCAAGAGTCATTCTTAAAATGACTAAAAATATAACACCTTTTCAACCCCCAGTCCTGTAAAAGTTTATGCCCTTTTTCTCTGCTCTAGTTGTAAGAGACATTCACTAAAGTTCATATTCCAAGGCCAAGAAGGTCCCCTCATTGTAAGCTATCTTAAAATGTGAAACTATTGCTCAAAGGGAATTATTTTTCTCATCTGTGTATACTGTAGTGTGGGGAGGCGGGCTGGGTACACATGCACATGTATATGGTCAACATTGAGTTGTTTTGTTTTGTTTTCACATCACTTTCCAACATACTTTTGAGACAAATTCTCTCATTGAACCTAAAACTCTACGGTTTTCCTCACGGACTAGAGGCCAATAAACTCCGCTCCCAAGCGCTGAGACCGCAAATGTGTGTTAGCATACCTGTTTTTGTTAAATGAGTAATAAGAGAGCACAATCAAAGTTCTCATACTATTGAGGCATCTCTCGAGCCGCCCATGGAAATTTTAAATTCATCATACACTAGGAATGGCAGGATGGCTCCTATTATCATCAATACAGTTAAAAATATAAATTTAAAATGAAGCTTGTTCTGTATTAACAAAACAGCAGGACATGAAACAAAACTTAAGTCAAGTGGGATCTATTAGTTTCTTAAATATAAAACAAGATTACTAAATATTAGAAAGTTCTGCTTTGGGAACAGTAAATTTTCCCTACATTAATATATACCTAATGTCAACATATGCTCCCAAATAAAAATATATTGATTAAAAATAAGTATTCTCAGGGAAAGTATCTGCAAACTTTGATGACTAAAGCAATATTGATTCCTTTAACTGGGAGATGTTCCATTTCCATACTATGAATGCAATTATTATTTTAATTAAGCTTTTCCTTTAACTGATGATAGGTGTCCATGGATAACTTAGATAATGAAAACTTATCTACAATGGCAATGCTAAGATTCTCAAATGATATGCTGGAAACTTTATCACAACATTTCCAAGTCTACCAGTTGATACACATTAATGCATTAAAAGCAGGAGACAAACACCAATGTGTCAGTCACTAACCTTTGTTAATCTTAGTAAACGGTAATGAAAAAGTTTCTACCTCACATGAAGCAAGGAACGATGCATAATCAGAACTAATGTCCTAAAACTAAAACAGCAGTGTTATGGAAAATTCCAG